GGCAGCTAGACAACAATTTTGTTTTTCTTGAGCTCTAATTTTTTCAATCATATCAGGCGCAAAAAAAATTGAATAATATCTCATATGAAAGCCTATTCAGCTTGCTACAAATCGTTTATTCATTTGTTATTAAAAATTCTTTTCTCACATGAGTTTTATTCCAAATACTGAAATTTTTTTGCTTCTGACCTTTTCTTACTGCCTACTGCGTACCGTGGGCAAGTACACTCATGAGTTAAAAATGATTTTGAAGATTTTTGAAAAAATTTTGATGAAAATATCGACAATACATACTGCCCATATTAAATTTAAAATCTCAAAGAAATTTCATCCATTGACTGAGCCATAGGCCTGAAAGGGTTAAATGGCACTAATGCATACCTAGCACTTAATGGAATTATAACAAGTAATTAATTATTTAAAATCTGTACATGCACCAGCGAAGTCATAGATACATGTTTCAATCATCTTATGAATGATATGATCATACTATTATTCACTTAGCTTTCACTTACATTCTTTTAGGATATGTATCTATATCCTATAATCAGCCCAAATTTTGTGCCACTGCATCTTGGAACGTTAATGGAATTATCATTGCAAACAGCAGTTTGCTCGGTCATCAACCCGATAATGTTTTTATTGACATCAACAACAGTGTCTATGTAGCAGTGTATTGGTATAATCGTATTCTATCGTGGTCAGCAGGAAGTCTCATTCCGACAAGAACTCTAACTGGTGGTCTGAACGGTCCACATGGTATCTTCGTTACCATCAATGGCGATATTTATGTCGATAATGGTCATAAGGGTCGAGTTCGTAAGTGGGCACCCAATATGACAAGTAGTACAATTGTGATGTATGTTACTTCACAATGTGATGGACTCTTTGTTGATATTAATAATACCATTTACTGTTCTCAATCGTACGATCATCAAGTTATTGCAAATTCACAAGAAGATGGTGCAAATTTTTCAACGATCGTTGCAGGTACTAGCTTTCCAGGATCAGCATCAAATATGCTTAATTACCCCAACGGAATCTTTGTTGATATCAACTTTAATTTGTATGTAGCTGACTATGGAAACAATAGGATTCAGCTTTTCAAGTACGGACAATTGTTTGGAACAACAGTTGCAGGAGGTGAATTAGAAGTCAACGTCGCACTTAATCGTCCAACAACCGTCGTTCTTGATGCTGACAATAATTTATTTATCGTAGATAGTTTCAATAATCGTATCATTATGTTAGGTCCCATAGGATTTCGATGTTTAATTGGATGTTTATATACAAATGGCTTAGACTCTGGTCAATTACAAAGCCCATATTGGATGGCTTTCGATAGTTATGGGAATATGTTTGTCACTGATTGGGATAGCAATCAGTTGCAAAAGTTTATTCTGGCAACCAATTCTTGTGGTGAGTTTGATAAGTCATGATTGAGGCATGAAGAAATACATTGATCGGTAGACAATTTCTGTTCTGTTAGTATACCAGATAGTTCATTTTGATACATTCTTTCTAATAGGATTTAAGCTGACTTATTTTCATAGTTAGCTTTCATTTATTAGATCTAGTTCATTGAAGTTATTTTTTAAATTTTCTATCATTGTAGCTAAATATGTTCTCAATAGATTTCGTGCTATGTTGCGAGGTGGTTAGAATATTTGATAAGCAGTGGTGAAAACCATATTTTTTTTTAGGTTGATAACACGTCAGTTTCAAATAGTATTATCAACAAATTCTATGCTGAATTGAAGTGTATTAAAAATGAGTTTTCACCGTGTAAGTTTGATAGGTGTGAGTTCAATTTTCTTGCGGAAACACTAACTATGTACGGATAGAGAATGAGAAGAATGACAACAACGGAACACATATCGGTCGGCGAAGTTACAATTTTGGCAGCAAAATTTCTGAAGTTATAACTTCGACCAACGCTAAGCGATTCAAAGTATTTTTGCGATAGTTCCTTTTTTCTTTGCGTTAATAAACAATATTCATCAAAACTTTGTCTTTACACGCTATTTGCTCATTAAACAATAGGTATTTCACCAAATTGGTGCCTTGAAGGAGAAGTTTTCTGGTCGCTAACAAACCTTCTCCACTTAAATAATCCGATAATTTCCATATGACACCAAAAAGTTTCTTTCTATAGGCATAGTATGCTAAAACATCTATTTTTTCGGAATGTGCTTCCTAGATTTTATGTAGAAAAAATAAGAACAATCACAAAGGAAATAAAATAATATAACTATTATTTTTGAAATATTGCTGATAAATTTTGGGAAAAACCTGATTTTCAAGCTCTCTTCGCCGTTTGTCGAATAGAAAATCTAATAAAAGCACATTCTTTCGACAAAGACTAGCAGAGATTATATAGTCCCTGCATTTTCTAGTTCGTATGCATAAAAAAAAACTAAATTTAAATCTCTTTAAGAGAGAAGAATATTCATTATCATTTAAATTAATACCTTACTATAAAGAGTGGGCCAGAAGTCCTGACTTGATTTGAATATTCAATTTTTCTTTAGTAAAGCACGTACCTGGAAATTTATCCCTATCAAAGGTAAATGTAGTAAAACACGCTCTACAAAAGGTATTTTGATTGATCCCTCTAGTTTATTTAGTAGGAAAGTTATAAGGTTAGAAATATGCTTTACAAAAACGAAAAATTAATCGTGAACTTTCTTTGTGTAATGGTACTGACAGTAAAAGATCCGTAACTCCATTAAAACAAAAGATTTTTTCGATCAGATTTGTTCTGTTTTGATTAGAAACGATTGCTCTTCTCTACCTAACTTCGAAATCAAAATTTCATCATGTTTTGTATTTCTTGCTAGAACATATTGTTGGAAGGAAGAGTCTTCAATCTTCAAAACTTCACTCTGGAGCACAATATTTGCTCTAAAAAAATCTTTTCACAAATCACAAGAAGCAGTACATTTGAAACTATACCAAACACAAACTGACTTCTCACTTTTGCTAACCTTTTTCAAAGAAATAATAGATGAAGAAGAAGTTCGAGCCAAAAAACAATATCAAATTTACAAATTGTTCATTTTTTCTATATGTCAGGTAATTTGCTTAATTTTCTTAATTGAAGTTTTAAAATTGAAGTCTAAACATAATTTTGCGGAGAATTTCATGACGCTTCTAGGAAAAAAAAGAATTTGTTCTAGGGAACCTAAACAACTAGAGCTCGAGCAAAAATATCGAGATAGGATTCATGGTTAATTTTTCTTTTTTGTAAAGTATATTTCTAACCCTATAACTTTCTCACTAAATGAGCTAGAGGTATCAATCAGAAGGCATTTTGTAGAGCGTCTACTCTTGGTAGAGCCAAATTTCCAGCCACGTGTTTTGCTGAAGGAAAACTTAATATTCAAATCAAGTCAAGACTTCTGGCTCATTCTTTAAACCTAAATGAAAAATAAAATAACATTTTAGTTTCGATATAGTTTACTATTGTAGTCATTCATTGTCAAATTGAAACTCAGCGTGAGAGTGTGGATATGAGGGAGACAAGAATAAAAGAGTCATATGCAGCCATTTTTAGAGCTTTTCAATCTTTGAGAACGTTAAAAAATTTAAATATAAATCAGAAACTGATTTGTCTTCTTCAAATATCCTTTGAAGACATACAACACACAGAAACTCTTAGTTTCCAATATATGAATTCAGAAATCTTAAAGTCGTCGTCGGATAACGCATCGGAAGTTGAATCAACTTTTAGATAGCATCAGTTGTCTAAGGTAGGTTCATACTTTCCGAGCATACCAGATAGATTTTTACCGATGTTCTTAAGATATTCCAAAATACTTTGAAAGTATGGAAATTGGCAATTTCGAAAAGTCATGGGTTTCCGAACGTTCAGCAACTAAGAAGATGTGCCTAACAGCCACTTATGAAATCGAAAACACTTCTACAACCGTTAGAAGCTTCTGAACAGGATTGAATTTGTCAGAATATGGATTTTGGTGAAGATAATTGTTTAACTGATATTTAAGCTAACCTCATTATTTGATCGATATTTTCTTTTGTTGCTAAGCTCTTCATTTTTAACTGTAGCAAGCAAATTTTAGTTCAAGGTATTTATTGAGAAAACTAAGTGACAGATAGGTAGAGTAATTAATATTGCATCGATGGTAAACAAATGAAAGTTAAAACAGTAATTGAACTGCATTCGAACAAGTTAGATATTATAGAAGATTAGAAGATGCCAAAATAAGTTTAGAATATGGGATATTTTACTTTATGTATGACAACTAGTAAATGTGTTTCACCATCTAGAAGCATCTGTCAACCAGCCCAAATTTTGTTCGTCTGCATTATGGAACTCGAACGCTCTCACATTTGCGGACAACAACACAGTTGATTTATCTCCTGTCAATATTTTTATTGATAGAAACAACACCATATATGTAGTCGATAAAACTCACGATCGCATCCTAGTATGGCTCAATGAAAGTATCAGTTCGACCATAAATGTTTCCGGCAATTTGAGTTCCCCAAACAGTCTTTTCGTTACCACCAATGGCGATATTTATGTCGATGATGGTTACAATGGTGGAGTCCGTAAGTGGACATCCAATATGACAAGTAGTACAATTGTGATGTATGTTACTTCACAATGTGATGGACTCTTTGTTGATATTAACAATACCATTTACTGTTCTCAATTGTACAACCATCAAATTATTGCAAATTCACAAGAAGATGATGCAAATTTTTCAACGATTGTTGCAGGTACTAGCTTTCCAGGATCAGCATCAAATATGCTTAATTCACCCAACGGAATCTTTGTTGACATCAATTTCAATTTGTATGTAGCCGACTCTGGGAATAATAGGATTCAGTTTTTCAAGTACGGACAATTATTTGGAACAACAGTTGCAGGAGGTGAATCAGCAGTCAACTTCACACTTAATTATCCAACAAGTATCGTTCTCGATGCCGACAACAATTTATTTATCGTAGATAGTTTCAATAATCGTATCATTATGTCAGGTCCTACAGGATTTCGATGTTTAATTGGATGTTCATATACAAATGATTTAGACTCTGGTCAATTACAAAGACCATTGGCAATGGCTTTCGACAATTATGGCAATATGTTTGTCACTGATGAATGGCGAATACAAAAATTTGTGTTTATAATGAACTCTTGTGGTGAGTTTACTGATCAGAAAAGAGATCAGCATATAAGTTGTCCTCGACAGACCGGTAAACAAGTACCGGATCAGTCGGTTTTTTGCCTGATTAAATCAATATTTTTAATCAACAGGTTCGGGTCAGTTGGGAAAAACTCAATCGATTCGAACGCTGATCATCAATCATACCTTAATTCACAAGTTCAATGTTGTTTGTTCTTTCTCATGATGCTAGGAACATTTGATGAATTTGAATTGCCAAAATTGATATTTTATGGCTTCTACTTCAATATTTTCAAGAAATAATTCTGCTAATAAGATTTAAAAGTATGATTCTTTATTCGATAGAGCTAGAGTCTTATCAAATGTTTCGATAAAGAAAGTTCAAAAACTTAATAGTTACATAGCTCTACTAAATTCATTTCCAATATTCAGCCATATGCTAATCTTGAAATTTATGTATAAGTTAATGTATCATGTTTGACTAACATATTCAAGGCAAAAGTGAGATTATGCGAAAATCATCGCTAGATTGTTATGTTTGCGATCTATTTTAGCTCAATTTACAACAACTATACAAGCAATCACAACAGAAATAACAGTAGCTCCATCAGGAACCTCAAATTCGATTATCAACTCATTAATACTTCCAACAGGTAGATGCACGTAATACTATTCTTCTTGAAGATTGATACAAATAAGAGCTATATGAGTGTATAGGATCATATTTCTATAATGTCGATATCATCTTTAATTGTAGTTATCATCTTTGCAATAATCGTTCACTTGTATGTATATATATTGATGTCGTGCTTCGATAAATGAGTGAACAACCAAATGTCATGAAATGATAAGCCACCACCGTTCGTCATTGTCACGAAACAGTATTTTCAGCTCGTGTCACATACGTATCGTCCTCTCAATTTTTTTTTTGATTCTTTCTTACTTTCTCTTTTTTTATTCCTGCTTGACAACGCACATGCATAGAGTTTATCTTTGTACTTTGGCAACGCGATCTTTCTCTCTGTTCATTATGAACAATATGCTTGAGCTTTCTATGTGACGATTACTCTTTATCCTTTCGTCTCTTGTTCTTTGTAAATATTTAAACCGCTTCAATACATTCTTTTAATGTATTAAAGGACCTTGGAGTTCTTTCATGAGTTAGTATTTCAAAAGCTTGTTGGCAAATCAAACGGGGACCATGAAGCACAATACAGAACAAACTTTGAATCCCAAAAGAATCCAGTTAAATCATAGGCGTTCATAGGAGATTATCAAAAAACAAGCTGATTAGAAGATAGGATGGGGGTGTGGGTGTCATTTTCTCGTCAATACCCACTTCGAGCAGTTTAATAGGATGCTCAAAAACGCTTCCAGATTTTTTTCTGGAATTTGAAAAAAAAACTTTTGGAATTTTCTGGATTTTTACTTTCACAGCTAGGAATTCTGCTTGTGTCGTTGCTTTCAATTTATCTTTCTTAAGAAGAATCATTGGTTTGCTTTAGCTGAGAGCAGATCAATATGTCAATGAGCAACAGTATGTTCGGATCTGTTTGACAACTTCTGTGTTGGCTAGTATTGGTTCTGGAGAGTGAATCATCCTTGAATAGATAATCGATCAATATGGATTTATATCATAGTAGGAAAGGGGCGTAGCAAAACTCTCTTGCATATTTGTAAAAATGTATCATAGCCGCTAGCATTTTTCAACTGCTCAATAATGTTCACTAGCTGTCCGATTGACTGGAATTAGATCAACAAGATTCAGAAGAAAATTTATCGCTTTGATGAATGTTCGAGATGTTTTACCAATGGCTGATTCTTT